TAGACCCTTCATCAGTCCAAATGAAGGGTCCCAACCCGAAACATCGACTCTGATGCTGCCTGACCTGCTGTGTTCCTCCAGCTGCACACTATATTGACTCTGACTCCAGCATCTGCAGTTCTTGCTATCTCCTAAGGGGTTAAACCTGATTGTATCACTTCCTGTATTTTACACAATGTCACATGTTCTCTCTCTCAGCCTCGCGACAAGATGAAGCCAATGAAAGATGCTCCTGAAATAAAACTAATACCTTTCTTACCTCAACGAACCAGTAGCGTGGTGAGATCGAGAATATTACATGACGGAAGCAAGATAGCGAAACAGTTAGGGAAAAATCTCTGACAGTCCCACAAAACATTGAGCAGGTTGCCTGTCCCAATCAATCAGAGACGTGGCACTGTGGTCGCCAAAGAGACCTTATTGCAGCCACCCTCCCACCAAAGTTGCATAGACAGTTTTCTTTACACCGATATTATGCTAATGCTAATAAACTGGGGAGAGAAATGATGAGAAAGCAGCCTCAAAGCAGGAGCAGCGAAAAGCCAGAGGAAAACCAGAGGCCTGAAGAATCAATGGACTTCTGAGGCTGCTATATCCGGGAACAGACACAACAAAACCATGGCTGACATCTTGATCTCAGCACAAAAAGGAATCAACGAAGAGAAAGCTTGTCTGACTGGAACTGTCCAGAGACAGAGGGGATACAACTTTTCCTTCGGGATTCTAGGTATTGGATGAAGTTAAAAGTGCTGTACAAACACAATTATTACAGAATAGAGGAGTCTAGCTTACATCGGGACTAACCACACATACACAAAAGACACTGACACAGGTTCAGGCACACATGCTCTTTCACACACACTTGATTAAACATGGCCAAGGATATGTCAGCGTAACTATAATAATTCTCTTATTCATGCAGTTTCAAAATATCCTCCTTAACTGCATGACAGAACCAGCTAACATTCACTCAATCTCTCAGCAACACTTCCATTCAAACTGTTTCTGTGCTGGGTATTGGGTGTATGGAAAATATTACTTCAGATTCTGAACTTCACAGAGTCAATAGCAACAACACATGCCATCACTGAAACTGTGTTACAAATGGATATCCAAGTTAGGAGCAGAAGCAGACCATTCAGCCCTTCAAGCCTGCTCCACCATTCCATAGGTTCGTGGCCAATCTGTTTGTGTTCTGAATTGCACATTCCCATCAAGCCCCTTGGACCCTGATACCCCGTCTAAGAAAAACCTATCCCCCTCTGCCTTAAAAACATTCAATATCCTCCACCCACCCCACTTCACCACCTCATGAGGTAGAGAGATCCAAAGTCATGCAAACCTCAGAAAGAAAACAAAATTCTCCTCATCTCTGACAACAAGGTGCAGAGCTGGATGAACACAGCAGGCTAAGCAGCATCATAGGAGCAGAAAGGCTGACGTTTCGGGCCTAGACCCTTCATCAGAAAATCCTAGATCCTTCTCCTCATCTCTGTCAGGATAGGGCAATCCCTGATTTTGAAACTACGACCCCTGGTTCTGGACTTTCTATCCACCCAGTCCCACATGCCTCTACAAAGGAAATCTACTGGTCTGTATTGTCAAGACCGTTCAGGATCTTATACCCTTCAATCAAATCACTCCTCACTCTTCTAAATTCCCGTGGAAACAAGCTCAGTCTGTCCAGCCTCTCCCCATAGACCTCCTCTGAACTGTCTCCAATGCATTTAAATCATCCTTTAAATAAGGAGACCAAAACAGCATGCAATATACCAGATGTGGTCTCACCAATGTCCTGTGTAACTAAAGTATGACATCCTCACTTTGATATTCAATTCCTCTATTGCATTTCTCTAGCACCTTATTCAACCTCAAGCAACTCCAAGGTGTTTTACAGCCAAGTACTCTTGAACAGTTGGTGCTGCTATAATGTAGGGAAAAAGATTTTCAACAGGATTAACTTTGCGAAGCCCAACTGGCCTTAGCTAACTTGTCACAGGGGCAGTGGTGGTCTTGTGCAATCTCTACCCATGTAGAGATCCAGGCTAATGCTTAGGGGTTACAGGTTCAAATTGCACTATGGCAACTGGTGGAATTTAAACTCAATTAATAAATTAGTAATTGAAAACGCATTGCAGTGATCAAACAAGAGTGCGCCATTCAGACTCTCGTGCCTGTTCCACCATTCAATAATATTGTGGCTGATCTGTGGTCTAACACATATGCCTGCTTTTGGCCCATATGCATTATTACCGTTACTTAACAAGATTTATGTAGCTCAGATTTAAAATTAACAACTTATCCTGAATTCACAGGCATTTGTGAAAGGGAGTTCCAAACCTCTACCACCCTGTGTGTGTAGAAGTGCCTCCTAACATCTCTCCTGAACGGTCTGATCCTGATTCTCAGACTATGTCCCTAGTTCCAGAATTCCCAACCACTGGAAATAGTTTATCTTTATCTACTCAGTCTTTTCCCATTAATAGCTTGAAGATTTTGATCAGACCACCCCTTAACATTCTAAATTCTAGGCCTAATTTGTACAATCTCTTCTCATAATGTCAGAAGTCACATGACACCAGTTTATTGTCCAATGGGTATATTTGAAATCACAAGCTTTCAGAGCGCTGCTCCTTCGTCAGGCGAAGTGACAAAGGAACAGCGCTCCGAAAGCTTGTGATTTCAAATAAACCTGTTGGACTATAACCCGGTATCATGTGACATCTGACCTCATCCATCCCAGTCCAACACTGGCACCTCCACATCATGGATCTCTTCATAACATAATCCCTGACATCTAGCTTTCATTCTTGTAAACCTACGTTGTACTTCCTCCTAAGGCATGGTGCCTAGATCTGCATCCGGTTCACCCTTTAGGAAGGGAAATTTGGTGTCAGTAATGCTGTAGGTCACCTCCATTCCAACTCCCTTCATACACTGCTTATGGCATCAGTCACCATTTTCAGGGTCAAACTCAAGCAGTTCTTGGAGTGTAAAGTAAACAAACATCTTTTTGAAATCATCTGTCAATGATTGGAACTCTGACCTCGAGTAATCCAGAAAAGGAAAACTTTCATTTATATACTACTTTCACAAACACTAGACATCTGAAAGGGTTTCACAGTTGAGAAAGTGTAGCACTGTGGTAGTGTGGGCCCACTCTCCAGAGGAAATAGTCTCTGTTTCTCTCTCTCTCTCTCTGTTTCTCCATCAAAATGTCTCTCTTCACATTGGGAGCTTCGATCAGGTCACATCTTCACTCACCCTACCCCAAGGAGAACAGTCTTAACCTTGCCAACTTCACTTCTCAGAACTGCAAATGCTCATCCCTGAAAACATCCCAGGAGAACCTCCCGCAGGAATTTTCATATGTTCTTTCATCTTACATGGTTTAGATGGTCTGTGGTCTTGAGGTAATTCCCCAGGACCTGATGGGATCTTCACCAGGATACTGAGGGAGTCAAGGGAAGAAATTGTTGGGGCCTTGACAGAGATCTTTGTATCCTCTTTAGCTACAGGTGAGGTCCCAGAAGATCAGAGAATAGCCAATATTGTTCCTTTGTTTAAGGGCAAAGGGATAATCCAGCAAATTATGGGCCAGTGAGCCTTAAGTCAGTGTTAGGAAATTACTGGAGAAGATTGTGAGGGACAGGATCTACTCGCATTTGGAAAAGAATGGACTTATTAGGGATAAGCAGCATGGCTTTGTGCAGAGGAGGTCTCATAAATTTGATTCAGTTTTTGAGAAAGTGAAAAGGTGATTGATGAAGGTAAGGCTGTGGATGTTGTCTACATGGACTTTATGAAAGCTTTTGACAAGGTCCCGCAATGTAGGCTGGTCCAGAAGGTTAAATCATGTGGGAGTCACGGTGAGTTGGTAAAAAATTGGCTTGGTCATAGAAGTCAGAGGGTAGTTGATATAAAATTGGTGGAGTTGTGAATAGCAAGGAAGATTGTCAAAGGATGCAGCAGGATCAGTTAGATAGCTGGGTGGAAAAATGACAGATGGAGTTTAATCTGGACAAATGTGAGGTGATGCATTTTGGGAGGTCAAATGCAAGTTGAAAGTATACAGTAAATCGCAGGGCCCTTAGGATCACTGATATACAGAGGGATCTTGGGGTATGAAGTAGCAACAAATGGATGAGGTGGTAAAGAAAGCACATGGCATCCGTCCCACCTTTCATCAGGGCACTGAGTGTGAAAGTTGGTAATTCATGTTGCAGCTGTATAAAACTTCAGTTAGGGAACATTTGGAGTACTATGTGCAGTGTTGGTCACCACACTATAGGATGGATGTGGAGGCTTTGGAAAGGGTGCAAAAGAGGTTTATAAGGATGTTACCTGGATTAGAGTGTATTATCTATAAGGACAGGTTGGACAAATTTGGATTGTTTTTGCTAAACTGTCTGAGACTGAGGGGACAATCTGATGAAAGTGTATAAAATGATGAGAGCCATGGATAGGGTGGAAATGTCAAATACTAGGGGGCATAGGTTTAAGCTGACAGGGAGAAAATTTGAAGGAGATATGGAAGGAAAGTTTTTCCTTTCCACAGGTGATAGGTGTCTAGAAGGCGTTGCCAGGAGAGGTGGTTGGAGCAAGTACAATAGCAATATTTAAGAGGCATTCTGACAGACATATCAGAGAATAGAAAGATATGGGCCAAATGTATGCAAATGGGACTAGTTTAGTTTGGGAAACATTATAGGAATGGATGAATTAGACTGAAGGGTCTGTTTCTGTGCTGAATGATTCTATAATTCTAACTGCCCTCTGGACAATTAGGGATGGGTAATAAATTCTGGCCTTATCCAGCGATGCCCATATCCCATGAATGAAATAAAAAATAAAATGGTGCTGTTGAACCTGCTTTCCACATTGAGTATGGCTCATTGCAAACACAAATTCACCAGTGTAGTTCCCTTAGCCTTCGATTCCTCCTCCCTGTTAATCGAGCGATTAGCTGACTGTAACAAACAAGGCCAGGTAAATGTGTAAACATTTTAAAATATTTTATTATTCTATGAACAAAGTTTGGCATTGGTCTGGCAACCACTCCAAGTGCTCAGGCCCTTCAGCGGTCAATGGTATGTCAATCAGCTGTCACCCAAACAGGACGGGGGAAGAAAATACAATCTTCCTTCTTGGCATCTGTCACATTTCTTTGCAAAAAGTTTCAAACTCACTTCAGCAAATGCCCCTGTTATCTGGGATCAGGGGAATGGATCCAATAAGTGAATTCCAGCCTCCTCCCTTTCTCAGTCTGAGGCCCCAGGGATTCAAACCAGGATCACCAGAACGTCTCCCACCATGGGACCCCTCCACCACCTCCTCCCCTCCCCAGGAGAAACATTCCCTCTTGTCCCACCCGATCATGTGGAGAAGTGCATTCAGAAATAAAGAAAAAAGGTATAACAAAAAAAAGGCATTTAGGACAATGAAGCCACCTGTCATATATAAGACAGGCTGAATGGCCTCCTTCTGCATGCTGGGAATGGGAGTGAACGTGTGGTTTAGTGCTCTCGGGACCTCCAGACCAAATTAAAAGCCTATATGAAGATATATATATGAGATGCCAACTGATAGGTGTGGGTGTTTGACATTTGGGGTGTGAGAGTATGGCTAGCTCAGCGTGTGGGCGGGTGAATGTTGTAGGGGAGGGGAATGAATACAGGAGGGCTGGCAGCATCTCATCTACTTCCCACAAACTCAATTCCACATCCAAAACTGTAGTGACGAGGCCAACAAACGTGGCCCAGCAATTTGTTAAAATTCCGTTTTTTTTTACAAACAGTGTGCTCCCACCTATTAAGCGAACAAAACTAATGTGTTATTTTTCGCTTCTTTACTGGTAATCACAAACGTAATGTCTGCTAATGAGCCTTCTCATTAAAAAAAAGAATAAAAAGAGAAGAAAGGAGAGACAAAAAGGGAGGAAAAGAGAGAGAAATGGGCACAAGTTCACTCTTCCGCAATGCAAGGGCCAGGGCCTGTTGGGAGTGTCCATAGGATTGGGTGGTAAGCGGATTGCCCCACAATCTAGGGTGGTCATCTCAAGGAAGTAATGATGTCCAAGAATTGCAGCAATGCTATTTTCCTTAAATTGTGTTACTCCTTTCTCTATAGTCTGGGCGATGCATGACAAAGTTATACAGTTTTAACTAGTGCATTTTCATTGACGGGTGACCTCTCTAAGCCTCCTGGACAGCTCCTGCTAAGAAACCAGTCATAAATGAAAACTAAACCCACAGAACATACGTCTAAATAAACATTTCAATTGTCCCTCCCTGTTTTTTCCCTCCTTCTCAGGTAAAAATATTATCAGCGTCCCTCCATGTTATGTCAGTCTCTCCTTTTACTTTCATACGAATTCTTTTTCATATCAAAAGTTAACCATGATTGTGTTTTTTTTTAGCAGAGAGAGATGAGATGCAAGCTATTGCTCCCCTTGGGAAAGTACAAAGTGGAGGGGAGTCACTCAGAGAGCGGATGGGCCTAACGAGAGGCCCCAGTCCTTCGTGTCACAATTCTTGCCTCAATTCTTGATGGCGAGTCAGTTAACACTCCTTGGGCACTGACGATTGTTGCTGGGCACGGTTTGAACCTGCTTCTCTGACTCTCAAAAATGCCCTCCGAGCTTTGTCAAGAAAGACCTGGGCAGCTACTGGTCGAGGCCTAGGTGTAAATATGTTACAAAAAAAAACTGACGTCCTTTCCTTGTGCGTCTTTGTCCATCTACTCCGCCAACGCAAGAGAGTTAATGGGATGGGGAGAGAAGGTTGAATGTGGTGAGGATGGCTGCTGGTTGGGGTGCGGTGAAGAAAAAATGGGGTATTTCCCCCAGTTGGCGTCCCTGACTGACCAGCTGATACCATTTTGTTCATTTTGTTTCCAGCTCCGACAACACAGGTCATGGTGGCGATTCAGCAATTATTTTTCTTGCACCTCTGAGGAATTTTATAAATGTCATGGTGCTCCTCTGGAAAATCATTTGCATTCCACAGTGAAATACAAGTTCTGGAAATGTTTTGGGCCTCCTTCTTGTGGCTGAGGCTACGTGGAAAAAGAAACCCCAGTTGGTCCCATTGCGATTTGCCAGTTCAGAGGGAAAATTTCCCTGAATTGGCTGTTGTTTTTTTTAAATTTTAAAATCCGTTTTTGTCAGTTTTTTTTAAAATCTCTTTTAATATGCCAGTCATACCTTTTTAAATGAAAAAGAAATGAAGGGGAATGTGCTGTACAAAATAGCTCACTTTTGAGTTACTACAACTTGTTGTCAAAACAAATTTCCTCAGGGGTTAAAAATCAAAATTAACAGAAAGAAACGATTAGACGTTCAAATTATCAAGTTAAATACCATGCAATCCGCCAAACAATCACGTTTTAAAAAGAATCAATTTTGATTTTTGGTAATTATTCGATCCTGTAATTAAATTATAATTGGACTGCAGGTAGGCCGGAGCCTCAATTTCCTTGACACTGGTACACTGTTTCAAAGATTCCTCAGAGATAGTGGGGGTGATAGAAGGGGAAGGTTTCATTCACTGCTTCCCCCACCCCAAAAAAAGTGCGTCAGGTTGTAAGAAGGGGTCATGTTGGTGGGGTGGGGGCAAATCTCTTGAAAAATATTCTAATTATTCTAGTCGCACTTCGTATTCCAAAAGGAAAAGCTTTGTCAAAAATGGTTGAACCTCGGTCTAGCACGTTCTCGAGGGGCCTTTTGTGTTTCCTTCTCCCTTGGCGGCATGGGCAAAGGCTCAGACGAGGTCCTGACTATACTCGGGTGGTTGAGTGCGGGTGAGGCAGCGTGTTGTTGTGCCCAGCCGCGTAGGTGTTGAATGAGTGGAGGGGCTGCATCCCGCTGATGGTACTGGGGATCATGGTGATGGTGCTGGGGGTCATTAGAGGGACGTCATCAGGTGCCCTCCGCAGTGCCAGGGTGTAGTCGGGCGGACAGGCTGGGCGCAGGATCTCGTGGGGCCGCAAGGGCTCCAGGTCATGGCCCTCATGCTCGCTGTGCTTGATCTGAAGTGACATGATCTCCTCCTCCTGGGCATGGGCGAGGTCGTTGGTGGTGTTGCGCTGGGGGCTGAGCCTGCGGTGCAGCTCGTGCCTCTTGTCCCGTTTGTAGTAGAGGGCGGCAAATGCAAGGATGTTGAGGAAGAGCAGCGAGGCCCCCACTGCCACGGTGACGCTCAGCTCTGTTGAGTAGTCTCGCGAGTCCTTGGGCAGGCGGGCGTAGTTGGGCGGGTCTTCTGTGTGCTCCTGCTCGGGAGGTGAGGTGACAAATGGGCGCTTGGTAGTGACTGTCCAGCCTTTGCCATTGGCCCGCTTTGTCATGAAGGGGTCTTCAAGAGGGGTCTTGGTGGTGGTTGAAGTGTATTGCAGGATGTCGTGGAGATTGTGTAAGTGGGGCACCAGCTCCAGCCAGAACGCCACCTTGTTGGCTCGGTAGTGCTCCCGAATTCGTGGCTTCAGGCCGATATGGAGGTAGGGCTTCTCTTTGGAGTTGAACTTCGTCCAGGCTACCTCCTCAAAGCGGTTTGGCTTAGTGTGAATGAACTTTGTGTCTTGGGGGACCGGCTTGTTGGGATCTCTGCAAGAAATGGAGGCAACAAATGAGGCAATCAAACACAGTGCACTTATGTCTTGTCTTCCTTAAAATGATGTGTAAGGGTGACGGGAGGAAAAATCATTTTCACACAGTGAGTCTTTCTAACAGAAAATGTGATGGAGGAATTCAAGAGGATATTGGATGGGGACTAGGATTAGCTTAGTTGACTGGACAGCTTGTAATACAAGAGTGATGCCAACAAAAATGTGGGTTCAATTCCTGCTGTGGGTGAAGTTACCACAAAGGGCTCTCCTTCTTGCCTGAGTTGTGGTGACCCTCAAGTTAAACCATCATCAGCTGTCTCTCTGTCTTTCTCACCTTGCATGGTTGTTTGAACAGGAATATGGGGAAAAAGGCACGCAACTGGCCTATCATAGGACCAAAAGAGGAAGGTTTTAAAGAGTATTGTAAAGCTTTTACTTTTTTAATCCATTTACTGGCCATGGGTATCACTGGCTAGGCCCAGCATTTAATGTCCATCCCTAATTACTTGGAAGGTGGGTAAGAGTCATCCACATCACTGCGTATGTGGAGTTAAATGTAGGCCTAGGCCAGATAAGGACTGCAGATTTCCTTCCCTAATGGATATTAGTGAACCAGAATGGGTTTTTACAACAATCAAGCTGTTTTTTTGAATTCCAGACTTTTTCCTTTCTAATTTAGTTAAATTTTTACAATCTGTCATGGTAGGATTTGAACCTATGCTCTTGGGACACCAAGCTGCTAATCCAGTGGCATTACCACAAGGCCACCTCATCACCATGACAACCACTTATTAGCTGAAGTGCATGTGAAACAATGGGAGACATCTATGAGCTTTGGCTCCAAAATCAAAGATGGACATTGTTTCTGGACTAAACATTGAAACATAGAAACTAGAAGCAGGAATAGGTCACTCTGGTCTTCGAGCTTGCCCCAACATTCAATGTGATCATGACTAATCCTCTATTTCAACACTATAGTGTTGAGTGAGCTTCACGTTTCGTTTATAAGAGTAGAGAAAGTTTTACTTTTAATTTAAAAGAGTACAGGCAGTTTTACACAGTATTTAACCCAGCATTGTACCTGTCTTGGGAGCCTTTAAAGGGAACAGTGTAGAGGTAGCTTTACCTTCAGTTTAAAGGAGCAGAGAGGGCTTTACTCTATACTCCCTTAAAACCCCTTGCTCTCCAGGACAGCATTTTGAAACCTAGAGACACTGCTCACTCTGCCTCTTAAACAGTGCAGCGCCAGTGGTTTCTCACCCAGACTATGAATCCTGAGAACGTCAGTTCAAATACCATGCAGACAACCAACTAGTATCAGTAAGTTGCAAAGCTTCCTGGCTGTTGTGAAATAGCATGTGTTGTTCAATTCAGGAAGGAGATCTGTTGTCCGTGTGTGCTCTGGGCCCCCTTAAGTGATTCCAGTCCCAATGGAGTTGACCTTCCTCTGCATCAGCTGGACAGGACTGGTGAGAAACTCCTTTGGATCAAACGGATTCGAGGAGAGAGCTTACCCTTAGAATTTTGAGGTGGTGGGTGAACATCAGAGATTGTGCATCTTGATGGGCGATGAATGTCCCCCCAATACCCCTCTACCCTTCTCAGCAAGGCCCACATCCCAGGAATGTGTTCCCTTTTGGGTGAAGGAAAGCCATCTGGTTGGTTCAGATCGCATGATTGGCTGGCTTAGAAGCCTTGAAGTCGACTGGTCCTCTCCCTTGGGTGGTGATATCCATGGATCTATGGAGAGGGGGAGGGTGAGGGGGGCTGTGGACATCCATGGCCCCCTTCATCCTGTGTCAATACCATGCCCTGTCCCCCACCACTTGCATAACAAACGGATACATGTCACCCCAAATCCAGCTCAACAAAATCAGAGAACAGTTACAGCTTTGAGGGAAGTGTTCAGCCCCTGGTAACTGTGCTGGCCCTTTGACAGAGCTACTCAGTTCTCTTCTCCCCTCAATACTAACCTCTCCTCTTTCCCCTTGCTCATATCTAGCTCCTTCCCACAATTTCCCCAGACCCTATTGAAGTCCCTGTGGAATATGCTTCCACTGACCTTTCAGGCAATATATTCAAGATCACAGCAACTTGCTACATCAAAAAAAAGTTCTCACATTCCCCCAACGTTTTTTTTGCCAATTCTTTTCAATCTGTGTCTCCTCCATTGGCCAGCCCTCTGAACAATCATTTCTCCTCATTCGCTCAATCAAAGCTTTCCTCGTTATTTTGAACTCCTTGATTCAGTCTCCCTCTTAATCTTCTCTCATTCTTCTAAACAAGTGTAGCAAGGGAGGAGTGGTGGTAATGTTATTGCGTGAGCAGTACAAGACCTCATACTAATTTCAAATCCCACCTTAGCAGATGGTGAAATTTAAATTAGTGAATAAATCTGGAACTGAAGTTACTCTCAGTAATGGTGACTGACCATTATCAAATGTTGTAAAAACCCATCTTGGTCACTAATGACCTGCAAGGAAGGAAATCTGCCATCCTTCCCAGTCTTGGCCTACACGGGACTCTTGACCCATAGCAATGTGGTTGACTCATAACCGCCCTCTGAAATGGCTGAGTGTGCTGCTCAGTTCAAAGGGGCAATTAGGGATGGGCAAAAAAACCTTGTCCAGAGTAGAGAAATTTTGCTTCAGTTATACAGGGCATTGGTGAGACCATATCTGGAGTACTGTGTACAGTACTGGTCGCTGTACCCACAGAAGGATAGTAATGTGTTGGAAGCAGTTCAGACAGGGTTTACTAGACCCTTCTGAGGAAGGGTCACCGGACCCGAAACGTTAACTCTGTTTTCTCCTTCACAGATGCTGCCAGAGCTGCTGAGCTTTTCCAGCAACTTTGTTTTTGTTCCTGATTTCCAGCATCCGCAGTTCTTTTGGTTTTTACTAGACTAATACCTGAAACGAATGGTTTGCTTTATGAGGAAAGGTTAGCCAGGCTAGGCCTGTATTCTCTGGAGTTTAGAAGAGTCAGAGGTGATTTAATTGAAACAAAAGATTTTTGAGGGCAGATGTTGAAAAGATATTTCCTCTTGTGGAAGAATCTAGAACGAGGAGTCATAATTTAAAAATAAGGGGGTGGCCCCATCAGAGATGAGAAAACAATTCTTTGGAATTCCCTTCCTTAAAAGGCAGTAGATGCAGAATCTGTCAATATTTTTAAGGCAGAGGTAGGTAGCGTGTTGATGAGCACGGGGATGAAAGATTATAGGCGGGGGAGGGACATGCAGGAATGTAGAGTTGAGGTTAAAATCAGATTAGCCATGACGTTATTGAATGGTATAGGAGGTTCAAAGGCTGAGTGACTCCCTCTTATTCGTTATGTTCGATGATTTCCTGCATGAACAGGAACAAACGATGCTCCTCCCGAATGTGGCTCAGTGAGTTACATGCTCACTTCAGGTTCGTCAGGTTGGAGGGGTTCAAGTGCCCTGCAGGAATCTGAACCCATTGACCCATCTGGTACAATACTGAGGGAGTGCTGCACTGTCAGAGGAGCTGCCTTGAAGACGAAACCTTGTACTGAAACCCTGTTGACTGAATGTTGATCCAATGGCCGCCCACGGCTTGGGTGGGGGTGTCATCCAAATGCTTTGGAAGCATGTGGGAATTCAGAGAGGGGCCTCACCAACCCCCTCCCCTTCCCCTCCAATCCTGGGCTGCTATGATTGATAGTCCAGTAACGTTATGCTCCCCCCCCACTCCAGGGGTGGGCCGTTCCCACCTCAAATGGCCCAAGGATGGCACACTCATTCACTCACTCACTCACCCAGTCTTGGCAAAGTTGGTCCAGTAGGTCATCACCACGGCGCTGAGCATTACGTCGTTCTTGGAGAAGTTGCAGGGGAAAAGCTCAGTGACGCCAATCATAGGGATCCCAAAGACATACGGGATCTCGTCACCATGCGCAGCGTCAGCCCACACTGCCTTCATCTCGCTCTGGCAGTGATGGTAGAAGGTGTAGAAATAGGTGGGTGACTGGTATTCGGCGTGGAGGCGGGCAGTAGCGATGGCAGGCGCTACCCACTGGTGGTCGGTGAACAACGCTAGCAGAGTCTTGCGGCGCATCTCGCCGTTGTCGCGGTCCGCCCAGTCAGTGTACATGAACTTGATGGTCTCCCGCAGGATGTCCTTACCCTCCGGATACCCGTACAGGTTATCGACAAAGTTCGACACAGCAAAATCGAAATAACTGGCCGAGATGCCATCCTCATTGTCCACCAGGGACTCCACAAACTTGAAGCCCTCGCCCTGGTTAACCCCCAGTAGGATATCGTAGTTGAGGAACTCACCCTGTTCCATCAGGATCTCAGGGTCATCCGGGAGCACATCGCCATCGACAACTGGCCCAAAGGCGATGTGATATCTGGTGGGCTGGATGTCCTGGTCGACCAACTCACGGTAAGACTTCCGCCGCAAGCACTCCACCACGTCCACCGTCTCGGGGAAGTTACAGCCCACTTTCTTGGCCAGGATGCGCGTGTATTTGGCAGGTTGATAATTGACCGACCAGCTCGATATGGCAGTGCCACTCTGAGCAATGGCTCGTTGGAAAAGACCTGCGGCAGGGAGAGATGGAAACCTCAGACATAAGGGTCTTTCATCGCGGTCGTCATTTTAGTTTCATTATGTACCACTGCGATTGGAAACGACACATATAATAATGGAGCAAAACAGACCCAAAATACTCAGCCGATGTAACCCTTACCTCTGTCTCTTTTAAACTTTTTTACCTGCTCTGGTGTCAGTATTCAGAACGTCCCAGCACAGAAGGAGCCAATTTGGTCCACTCTTTGAAACCCAGTCCTGCTCCTCTTTCACCCCTTGTTCCCTCACCAATTGTTTCTGCAGCCTCCCTTTTGAAAGTCTGTATTGAATCAGCTTCCATCGCCCTCTTGGACAGCATGTTCCAGTACACGGCAACTTGCTGCGTCAAAAATGTGTGTTTCTTCCCCTCAAATTCTTTTACCAATTCTCTTCCATCTGTGTCCCCTCTGGTGACCCACTCTCTTACCACTGGAAACAGTTCCTGCTCATTTACTCTATAGATTCATAGATTCATTCAGAGGTCCTTCAGCCCATTGAGCCTGCCTTAAACAAAATCACTATCTACGCTGTGCCGCTTTGCAGCACTAGGCCCATAGCCTTGAATGTTATGGCACTTCAAGTGCTCATCCAAGTACTTTTTAAAAGTTGTGAGGATTTTTTGCCTCAACCATCCTCCCAGGCAGTGCAGCCCCACCTTGCGATTTTGAATCTCCCTCTTATCCTTCTCTGCTCCAAGCAGAATAATCCTAGCTTTTCCAATTTATTTGCATTCATTGAAGACTCTCATCTGTGGATCCAGTTGAGTAAGTCTTGATCTATACTCATGTTGGCTTGGAGTGGGTCTGGCCTTGTGGGAATTTAATTCCTCCTATTTGGTTATTAGAGTGGTGGGGCATGGGGAGAGGGCTGCTCCCCAATTTCTGGCTCCAGTTCCCACAATCCTCAGTTTGACTTCATCGTTCGAAGTGCAGTGGAGGGCAGGTCAAAGGGCCGGTTCACGGTTTCTGGTCCTTAAACTGGTGAAGGTGACATTGACTGGCACAGGTACCATTCGCCTACACTCTAGGGGTTGCCCTAGAGATAAATCTTGGGATGATAAATTCAGATATCATTGCTGACTGGGCTAACATTGGCTGTCCTTCCCCTTGAGCTGACGGGCTCACTTGACCACTTCAGGGGGCAGTTACTGGTCAATTCTGTGAGGGGTCTAGAGTTGTCCATAAGTAAGGATGGCAAATTTCCCTCCCTGAAGACCATAAATCATAGGAGCAGAAATTAGGCCATTCAGCCCATCGAGCCTGCTCTGCCATTTAATCATGGCTGATAAGTTTCTCAACCCCATTCTCCCACTTTCTCCCTGTAACCCTTGATCCCCTTGACAATCAAGAACTGTCATAAAGATACTCAATGAACTAGCCTCCACAGTGTTCTGTGGCAGTGAACTCCATAGATTCACCATTCTCTGGCTGAAGAAGTTTCTCCTTATCTCCGTTCTGAAAGGTCTTCCTTTTACTCTAAGGTTGTGCCCTCAGGTCCTAGTCTCTCCTACCAATAGAAACATCTTCCCAACATCCACTCTGTCCAGGCCATTCAGTATTCTGTAAGTTTCAATTAGATCCTCCCTCATCCTTCTCTATTCCATCGAATATAGACCCAGAATCCTCAAACGGTCCTCATATGTGAAGCTTTTCATTCCTGGGATCATTCACGTGAACCTCCTCTGAACCTGCTCCGGGCCAATACATCTTTCCTGAGATATGGGCCCCAAAGCTGTACACAATACTCCAAATGTGGCCTGACCAGAACCTTATACAGCCTCAGAAGTACATCCCTGCTTTTCTTTTCAAGTCCTCTCAAAATTGCGAGCACCACTTCCACTTCAGCTTGATTGTATTGGTGCAGCACTGATAGGATACTCTGTTGTTGAAAGTGGCACCTTTTAATTGAGGCTTTGTTTGTCCTCTTAGGTAGGTGTGAATGACTGTTAGAGGCATTGCCATGGAGAATGCACCCATTAACTGATTGACATTTGGGATTATTCAGTAAATGTTGTCCAATTGAAGATTTCCGAATGTGCAAGGATTTGTGCCGACCATCAATTTTGGATTGTGAGTCAGACTTGCAGTAGGGCACGTGGGAGTGCAGGAAGCAACATGTATTGACACACAAGGCCATGTTCTGTGTAGACAGAACATATACATGCTTTGCACCTTTTTCAGTGCAACAAAATAAGTGACTTCCATTCACTGGTTCATTTCTTAGGGCATTGCCCAGCCCAATCAGAGTCAATCAGAGGTTTATAATGTAACCAAAGCCTGGAAATTAACCGTCAATCATCATTAACAGATGCATTCGCCATGTTAATGCCTCTACCAATCACAATCCACTTGCCAAACAATCAGCAGTCTCATCTCATGCAATATGTATGTTGATTTTTCCCTTGATATGGTGTTCTTGCAAAATGTCCTGATGAATGCAAGGCAGAAATCTTTGGCAGTGCTCAACATCTGCAATTATTTACTTTACAGGGTTATGGGTGAATTGTTTGTATTGATTGGAATGGAGGGATTGTCTTGAAGCAAAGATTAAACATGTTGGGATTCTACTCACTGGAATTTGGAATAATGAGAGGTAATCTCATTGAAACATACAGGATTCTTAAGGGGCTTGACAGGGTAATGCTGAGGGGATGGCTCCCCCTCAAGAGTCTATGACCAGAGGGCATAGTCTCAAAATAAAGGGGTACCAATTTAATACTGAGATGAGGAGGAATTTCTTTTCTCAGAAGTTTGAGAGTCTTTGGAACTGTTTACCACAGAAAACTATGGGGGCGGAGTGCTTGTGTATGTTTAAGGCTGAGATAGATAGATTCTTGATCAGTCAAGGAATCAAGGGTTACAGGGAAAAGGCAGGAAAGTGGACATGAGGAATGTCAGATCAGCCATGATCCTAATGAATGGTGATGCAATCTTGAATGGCCAGACAGCCATTTCTTATCGTCTATTGATAGGGGGAGGGGAAAGGACAGGTATGGCACTAGGTGCACTGCTTATTCAAGAGAACTGCCACATACATGATGGGCTGAATGACTTTCTGTGCTGCAATGACGCAAAATGTTTCCTAAATAAGTATAACAAAACTGCACACTATACTCTTAATGTGGTCTCAACAAAGCCTTGTACAGTTGCAGCAAACTTCCTGACTTTTTCTAATTCTACTCTCATTGCAATAAATAGCAACATTCCACTTGTCTTCCTAAACACTTGGTCCCTGCAGTCTGACTTTATGTGATTCATGTACCAAGTCACTCAGATCCCCCTCCTCTGCAAAGTTCCTTAGTTTCTCTCTTCATTTAAGTCCATTCAAATGGAGAAGTTCACAAAGAGGTAGTGGCATAATGGTGTACTTGTCACTAGACTGATTAGCAATCCAGCAGTCCAGGCTGTTGCACTGGGTAACATTTGTTCAAATTCCACCCTGACAAAATCAAAATATGAAATCAAAAGTTACTCTAATGATATCAGTGAGACAATTATTTACAAAATCCATCTGGCTTATTTAAATATCCTTTCCATGGTGTGGGCATCATTTGTTAGCTCTCCCTAGTTACCCTGAACTGATTTGTTCTCCCAGACCATTTCAGAGACACAGATGTTGGCTAGGGAACGGGTTGGTGCGTTGCAATGTCTCTGTCTCAGGCTTGCTGCAGTGCTCCAGCAAAGGTCAGCGCAAGTTAGAAGGACAGCACCTCATTTTCCGCTTGGGGACCCTGCAACATTCTGGCCTCAATATTGAGTTCAACAACTTGACAGCTTGAAGTCTCCCATGTCCTTACCCCAACCTCCACACACCAGATCTTGTTATCACATAGCCAGCTATTACACACACCCATTGTTAGCCACGAACAACTCCCACTAATAGCTACTCACCCTCCGAGCCAGATCGTTATCCACTTCTTTGTCTGTCCAACTGTTCTTCTCTCTCTTTGGGATCTATCCCCACCTATTGTTTACTCCTTACCCACTCCCCCACCCTATCTTCTGCATATAAATCAACATTTTCCTAGCTACCATCAGTTCTGAGGAAGGGTCACTTGAATTGAAACGTTAACTCTGATTTCTTTCCTCAGATGCTGCCAGACCTGCTGAGCTTTTATAGCAATTTCTGTTTTGGTTTCTAATGTATAGCATGTGTAATTTTTTCAGTCTTCCTCAGAACATTAGCCTGGGGATCTGGATTATCAGTCAGCAGTATCACCCTTATACCATCCGTACAACATTCAACAGTACAGCACAGCTTTAGGCCTTTCAGCCCACCATATATGCAACGACTATGATGCTGTTCAAAACTAATTTCATCTGCCTGCACATGGTCTGTATCCATCTATTCTTTGCCTGTTCATAAGTCTTTCAAAATGCCTTTAAAACTTTACTATTGTATCTGCTTCAAACACCATCCTTGGCAGTGCCTTCCAGGCACCCTTTATCCTCTTTGTAAAGAAAAATTTCCTTGTACAGCTCTTTTAACCCTACGCCCTCTCATTTTAAACTTATGAACGCAGTATCTGACATTTCCAACCTGGAAAAGAGACTCCAACTATCCACTCTATCTATACGTAGAACATAGAACAGTACAGCAAAGGACAAGGCCTTCAGCCCACGATGTTGTGCCGAACTTTGACCCCAATCCTAAGGTCTATCTAACCTCCACCCCTACCTTATACTATCATCCATATGCCTATCTAATAGCCGCATAAATGCCCCTAATGAGGCCGACTCCACTACCCTCTCCGGCAATGCATTCCACACCCTGACCACTCTCTGAGTAAAGAACTACCTCTGACGTCTCCCCTATATCTACCTCCACTCACTTTAAAACTATGCCCCCTCATAATAGCTACCTCCACCCTAGGAAAAAGTGTCTGGCTATCCACTCTATCTATACCCCTGATCATTTTGTACACCTCTATCAAGTCACCTCTCATCCTTCATTGTTCTAAAGAGAAAAGCCC